CATGTGGAGATGGGTTACTAGTCTCAGGCTCAAGAGAAAAGACACAAAACTGCAATGACAGCTGAATCCATAGCATGGCTGCAGATTGTACATGAAGTCCATATCATTGTGACATAATCAATGTCCAGGTGTTRGAAAAACAAATTATTTGTCGGTAWAATTGTTTTGTAAAGTGTAGAGCTTGAGATGTTTTAATGATCTCAGACCTAGWGGGAGGTTAACACAGCCTAGGAGKAARTGTRCACCACTGATAGTGGACACAAAGAATGCAGAGTTTACAGACCACAAGGACATTTGGCAGAACCCCCAAGATAAGKGAGAMACYRAAAAAACTAACTCAGCAACTGTGCTGAAATCAGCTCTGATTGGGTAAAACATAATTTCAGCAGGGGGAGATCTGCGACCAGCAACCTAAGAAACCAACAAACTCAAAACAGGAGTGAGCATGCGAACCAATTAGCATGAGAAGTGGGGGAGTCATTAACCATAGAAGATGGAATACTAATTAATAAATAACTGGGTAACTTATAGCCAGTGAATATTAAAGCTTTTGTTTGCTAAAATATATAAATAGTGAAAAGTTTCAGTAGTTGTCACGGTGGCTTTGTGGATTTCCCACCCAGCACCCCTTTCTGCACAGAACCGTAAATAAATTGACTGTGTGTGGACTGGCCTCTTGCACAATGGATGAAAGAACTTATTTTGGCAACATAATGAGAAATCACATATATTCACATTCAGAACTTCTACAAAGTAACTGATAACATTCCTCCTGCCCAAAGAAGCACATGAAYCCCTGAGAGAAAAGGATGATGTAAACTTTCATTCCCAGGGTAGCATAAAGAGCTGAACATGTTGCCCTGTGTCATTCTGAATCTGTACTGCAAAGTCAGGCCTTGCTAATCTTCTACATTTCAGCACAATATGCTTWTWACTTCAGCTTCTTGATGGAAAGATYTCTACCACAGTTTGGATTAGAGATTTTTGGATTAAACAAACAATGTTTACTAAACATTTCAGGATATCTATCTTGCACCAGTCCGTTTAGCAGCATTAGTTGATGGCCTAAAATGTAATTTAATACGTTTTTGAAACCACAATAGATTTGTTTGTGCCAGGCCAATGGTTTTCCTCTCATGAGCTTTAGAGGATAATCCTTTTCTATTTTTAATTTCAACATCAGTTTGTGAATTGAGGGATAAAATATCATTAATCTATTAGTGTTTGTAGAGTGCTTTGAGAATAACAATGTCCTTAGAAGAAACATGGTACATTATGATGCTTTCATTTGTATTAAATCTGTTACAAACTTCCTATTCATTTGAATTATTTGAATTACATTTCTCAGTTTTCAGAAGGAGCTAATTCCTCTTTCCAATCCTTACATCAGAATTTTGAGTAAGAGACTCCTGTCTCTGAGATTACTGCCCCTGTATTTTCTGCCATCCCTCAAAGATGCTGATTTCTTGAGCTTGAAATCTAGTTCCTATATGTTTGGAAGTTTTTTCCATTGTCCTTCCTGTATGGCTTTGTTTAATTACATATGGCAGTGCATTTATGTATCCTAGCATAAGATGGACAAGGAACAGTTGGAGCACTTCCAGAGGAGGGTACAAAGTTGTTAAGAGGATTGGAGCACCTCCCCTGTGAAGTCAGGCTGAGACAGTTGGGCTGCTCAGCCTGGAGAAGAGAAGAATCTCTGTGTAGAGACCACACAGCAACCTTCCAGCACCTGAAGGGGGCTCACAGGGAAGAGAGAAGGGGGTTTCTTTGTCAGGAACTGTAGTGACAGGACAGGGAATAATGGGTAGAAACTGARAGAGGGAAACTAAGCCCAGATATTAGGAATAAATTAATTACTGTGGCAGTGGTGAGATATTGGAATAGGGATTTTGTGGATGCCCCAAGCCCAACCCTGGCAGTGCTCAAGGCCAGGTTGGATGGGACTCTGATGGGGCTCTGAGCAACCTGATCTACTGGAAGATGTTGGAACTAGATGATCTTTATGAACTGTTCCAACCCAAGCCATTCAGCACATGATAGCTGTTTTTCATCATAAAGGAGGATAGACTCATATCTCATATAAAATGACATTTAACCCTAAAAGCATTCTAATTTAAAGCAAATCTAGAACTTTCTCACACAGCATGCCAGTTTCTTGTTGCTAAGACAATGCTCCCACCTGCCTTTTTATCATGCTTTTTTCCCAGCTCTGAGACTGTGGTCTCACATAGTGAAAACTTCATGAAAGAAACTGGCTTTGTGGCAGGCTGCCCTTTAGGGAGTACACAGGTTCCCTGCATCACGGGTTACCCTCAGTGTCAATTGCCACTGAAGCAGCTCGCAGAATTCGGGTATGGCTGACCCCTAATTTGAGCCTGATCTGGACATGATGTTAGTTGTGTCACAGGCAGCTCCCTGGGTATCTCCTACACACTAACGTTGATAGTTAGGTCAGTAATGCTGCCCACCCCGGGTCCAGAGCTGTACAAAGGGAGGTATCACAGCAGGCACTACCAAGGTCTGGAAGGGCTCAAGTGTTGTTTCTCAGCRTAAAAGGAACCAACAGTAAATTCTCTGTTTAAAAGCAGCTCCCCAGGGAAAGGAGGTGCAGACCTCTGATTTTAGCTTTCCTCACCACAGCTCGTGTCAGCAAAGGAGCCGACCTTGGACGCAACAAGCTGAACTTCTTACCCAGGCCAACTAACCTTCCAAACCATGGCAGTGCACTCGAGACCCAGCACAGATATTTATCCCTCCAGCACAGCTTCTTCTGTGTATCCCACACATAAAACAGGCATCTTATGGTTGCCTTCAAGATGAAATTAAAACTCTATAATTATTTATACTGTGAAATCTGAAAATGGCCAGAAGTACATTTCCAATTTTCTCTTTTTTTATTGTTAAATGATAAAATCTGGGAAGTCAAGTGATAGCTGTGTCAGKTTTGTTTATTTCAATGAAGCAAAGGTCATATGTATTAAAATTCTTACAATTTTCATGTAGTAATGAAGTGTTAGATGGCAGAACCACAGAATATCAAAGTCCATCTTTTTAAAGCTTACCATATGGGACATGATACCAGGAACAAAGCAGCTCATTCTTTTTACTAATAAAAGAGCCCCACGTTATTTCTGCAGAAMTGTCTCTCCCTTCAAGTCATGGCATTAAGCTGTTCAACGCCTTGTTATCTGTGGAATTAAAATTGGGAACATCATACAAATGCACAAACAACAAATTTCACACTAAAACACTGCTTTGGCTGCTCACTATCCCATTTAAAAAAAA